TTTTGGTTGGTGATGTGCCTCGAGATTTTTTCAATTAAAATAATTACCTTGGCTCAAAAAAGGTTGAAAAACACTGAGCTAATTTACCAGAGCGATAGATTAATGATTGTTAGCAAATCTAATAGCTTTTTAGGTTAGCTACTCCTCCAGCTAACGATCTACCAAGCTAGCTAGCTTATGCTAGTTAATGTACAGTAGCTTGGTAGCTAATTTGAAAGGTTTCTTTAAACTGAACTGAAACCTCGTCATCTAGTCGTTATAGAGTTGTCAACTAGCAGCAAAGCGCCTGACGGACTGGACATCATGCGTCTATCATGTGTCACACGTTGCTATGGTAACGGCTGCCGTCCTATGGCGGTACCTCCTCGCTCATGGTGGCTGAGAACAGCATGGTCTGCCGGTTGTAGGAGCACAGCCTGATGATCTCCTTCATCTGCTCCTCAAAGTACTCGTCCAGCATCCTGTCAGCAGCACACGGAACCGGGCCGTTAGCGGCTATGCTAGCGGTCCGGTTCCGTCGGCCGGTGGCGGCGCCCCCACCTGTCGGCCTCGTCCAGGATCAGGATCTCGATGTGGCTCAGCTCGAAGCTCGGCGTGTTGTGAAGGTGGTCGATCAGTCGGCCCGGTGTGGCAATCAGAACATCTGGACCCGCCCTCAGAGCCACCTCCTGTGACTTCAGGTCCAAACCACCTGCAGATGGCAACAGCAGCAGTCAGCCGGGACCAGAACCGGGCCGGAACAACCTGAACCGGGTCGTTTCCATACCAACAGCCAGGCAGGTGGTGATGGAGGTGAACTGGGCCAACTGGCGGGCCACCGAGTGGACCTGGATCCCCAGCTCTCTGGTGGGAACCAGAACCAGGACCCGGGTCACCTGGGATGTCCTGGGTTTGTAAACCAAGCGCTCCAACACCGGCAGCATGAAGGCGGCCGTCTTCCCTGAGGACGGAACCGGAAGACAGCTTCACTGGTTCTGGTTCGGTACCAGAGACCAGAACCAGAGGCTCCGGTTAAGGTTCTGTCAGAAAACCATCCATCCATCATCCATCCATCATCCATCCATCCATCATCCATCCATCCATCCAACATCCATCCATCCATCCATCCAACATCCATCCATCATCCATCCATCCATCCATCATCCATCCATCATCCATCCATCCATCATCCATCCATCCA